ATATATATATAATATATATATATACACACATTTATACAACAGAAGGAGAATATATCTTAACCATAACACTCACCAATTTGACTGGAGATTAATGTGTATCATACTCAGAAAACCTCACTGTCTATCTATGAAAATAACACTGGCCAGAATTAAACATAACAGACTTATCTGAGGTTCCTGGAGCTGTCTTGCCCAGTCGCCTGATACCTCAAGTTATGCAGGAATGCACATCCAACAATTTCGCCTCCTATTTGAGAGGTGTCAACCCAATTTTAACCTCTAGAGTACGAAAAATTCTTCCCATTATACACTACCGTTAGTGTCCAATTTAAACAAAATGGCGAGCCCTGTCTTCTGCGCAGACGCAGGCTTTCCGTTTTCTATGACATAAATATTATTAAATACAGTATGGCCATCTATTTACATATAACTACTGTATTTCTGGAAAATATATACAGTATTTTCCACAGCATGTTTATAGAACCTAGGATAACCCAAAAAAGTCAGACAAAGTGAATTATTTCCATTGGGATCCTTTTAATTCCTTACTATTACACTATAAAGTAGATAATATCTTATTATCATACTATATAGGAGATATACTAGGAATAACGAAAGATGAGTTATGTTTATTTACATGTGTGCTAGCTATAAAAATAAAAAAATCATTCTTCTCCCTTTCTGTCGCTACATTCATTAGGCCCCTTTTCGCTCTCTTCTTGAACTGGTTCATGCTATGACTGGCTTTGACATGTGCAGGCAGTCTGTTCCATTCCTTTATTGCTGTACAATAAAGGGTGTTTGAAGACTGACCACTGACTGTGGGTACTACAAAGTTGTGCTCTCTCCCCCTAGTACCTTGATTGCTTTGGTTCCTAAACTTGACAAAATTGGCAGCAAGATATTCTGGGCACTGTTTGTGAGCAATTTTATAAACTTGATTTAGCTTCATTTGTTTTACTCTGTCTTCAACATTCAACATATCCAATTGTTGTAATTCATCCTGGCCTACATTCTCTCTTTGACCCAGGTCCAGGATGAATCTTACCATTTTGTTCTAGGTGATTTACAGTCTTCTTTTTCTATTATTTTTTTGTCAAGGCAGAGTACCATGAAGAGCAAGCGTAGCCCACATGACATTGCATTAGGGCTAGAAATAGGGGCCTGTGAGCCTCAGTAGGTAAACACTGTGATTGTCTGAAGAGAAACTTCAGTCTGGTATTCGCTTTCTTTACTACACTGTTCCCTATCAGTTGTATTGATTCCCAGATATTTTACTGAGGAAACTGAAGTGATGGGCTCCCCATTACACCAGACATTAAAATTATTTTCCCTTCTCAGTTTACGTTTCGTGCCAAAGCGAATGGCTTCAGTTTTCCCGAGGTGTAACGATAGTTTCTTGTGAACTAACAATTTGCTGCAGGACTCCAGTTCCAGTGTTAATACATTAGCTACATCTTGTGGGTCTTTTCCTGACACTAACAGAGCACTGTCATCCGCATACAGTAGGAGTTTGCACTTAACACTGATGGGCATGTCGTTTACATAACACAGAAATAATGAGTTACAGAGAATTCTACCTTGGGGAAGTCCACATGCTATCGTTTTGTTAATTTTGACAATTTGTTTCATATTACTAAGATAGGATTTAAACCAGTCTATGGAACCATGCCAATACCTTGAAGTTTCTTACGTAATATATTGTGCAAGTTTAAGGTTACCATACTCTGAACAAACTTACGCTATTCCTCTTGTTGCTGCCCTTGCAACATTGCACAGCTCCTGATGACACACTGAGAAGTGTGAAAGTACTCGAGCTAAAGATTTCCCTCCCCACGGCTTGACTTATATATATATATATATATATATATATATATATATATATATATATATATATATATATATATATATATATATATATATATATATATATATATGCTGGAGTAAACTGGCAGCTTCTAGGCGAATGCTTCTTCCTGCTGCTTTGGCAACGAGACGGCGAAGAGCAATGGGTCTGATTTCCCCATCCTTCTTCAAAGTGCATAATGAGGCTCCAGAAAGGAAAGGTTTAATTTCTTCTATAATGCGCCCAGCCAGACAGTTGTTAACGAGGGTAGTTAACTCGTAGAGAAGAATTGATGCAAATGTACCGAGTACTGGATTTACCATCTCTATGAGGTGTTGTGGTCGAATTCCAGCGTAACCTTTTGGTGATCCTGCAGGAAATGACACTGTCGCCTTATAGACTTCTGATTCCGGCAAAATTATTGTCCAGTGATGAGGTCTTCCTCAGAGTTGTTGTTAACGGCTCTGGTGTCCCTTGTTGGGTACTTGTCTCTTAGTGCATGGGCTGTGGTCTCATCCTTGGGAGCAACATTGTCGTCACTTGTAATTATTCTGATTGCTCCCATTGTGTTACCTTCAAATTTTCTCTTTTTCAGTGGAATTTTTCATGGGTCTACCTCTGTGTTTCCTGCGATGATGGGGCAGAGGGACACAATTACCTGTTCTTGGGTAGTTGTGCACTGTCTTGACAACTAATGTGGTTAGCAGATTGCCTTGTCTTTCAGGAACTGCAAGTCAAACACTGCCGAACAGGAGTAGGTTCCGTAAAGCCTTAATGGTGCCTCGGGCTTCTAAGTTGGTGAAACCTCCATTCACCCGCATTAGAAAGTCTGTGAATTTCCCTGCTGCATATGGGCAGGGTGCTTTAAGGAATGTGAGATAAGGTACTGCTAGCAGTTGATCTGAATGCCTTCCGAAGATCTTCGCAATTGAGGAGGCTACCATTGGAACTTTCATCTGCCTGTGGAGGCTGCTGGCTGCTTCCTGCACACCCATTGTGTGGACGTATAAGACCATATCTGTTGAATGTCCGAGACGTTTCGCACATCTGACATGTGCCTCTTCTTTCATTGTTAGGTGCTCTGTTTCCCTGGCTTTGTGGCTGGCTAGCTAATTCATCTGCCATACCTCAATCTGTGTGGTAAGCTTGGGCTGAAGGGAGACTGACACATGTGGGTGGAGGCACATACCCTGGGTTGTTCATGATGGGGGTGGAGAGGGGTGGAGAGGGGCATAGGCCTAGATCTGGTTGGCGGTCTCGAGTCTTCATGGAAGGTGGAGTAGGTAGGAGATGGAGGTGATGTGAGGAGTGATGGGGGTGAGGGAGTAGTGGAGGAAGGGTGATGACCTGTGAGGCAGGTCGAGCAGAGTTCTCCACTCAGTGCACTAAACGACACCTTATTATACATAAGAAGACATTATACACAGCCCTCCACTATAAACAACACACCGTTATGCACTCTACACCATACACACACAAGCTTATCAAACACTCTGTCATCGGCGCGAGTCTACACGGTGTATGTGCGCATGTTCGGGGGAAAGAGGAAAAACAGGCAGTCCTACCCCTCTTGCATGTTGATCACCTCCCCTCACTGCTCCCTCCACCCCTCAGATGACGGATATGTATCCTCCCTCACTGGCGCTCACTTCATCTACCCAACACTTCTTGATTCTAATGGAAGAAATGAAATGCAGGGTCTCCTTGCCATTCTAAAATATATGTGTGTGTGTGTGTGTGTGTGTGTGTGTGTGTGTGTGTGTGTGTGTGTGTGTGTGTGTGTGTGTGTGTGTGTGTGTGCGTGTACTCACCTAGTTGCACTCACCTAGTTGAGATTGCAAGGGTCGAGTCCTAGCTCCTGGCCCCACCTCTTCAATGGTCGCTACTAGGTCACTTTCCCTGAACCGTGAGCTTTATCATACCTCTGCTTAAAGCTATGTATGGAACCTGCCTCCGCTACATCGCTTCCCAAACTATTCCACTTCCTGACTACTCTTTGACTGAGAAATACTTCCTAACATGCCCGTGATTCATCTGTTTCTTCATCTTCCAACTGTGTCCCCTTGTTGCAGTGTCCCATCTCTGGAACATCCTGCCTTTGTCCACCTTGCCAATTCTTCTCAGTATTTTATATGTCGTTAATATGTTCCCCCTATTTCTCCTGTCCTCCAGTGTCGTCAGGTTGATTTCCCTTAACCTCCCCTCGTAGGACATACCCCTTAGCTCTGGGACTAGTCTTGTTCAAAACGTTTGCACTTTCTCTAGTTTCTGTACGTGCTTGGCTAGATGTAGGTTCCAAACTGGTGCCGCATACTCTAATATGGGCCTAACGTACACAGTGTACAGGGTCCTGAATGATTCCTTATTAAGATATCGGAATGCTGTTCTTAGGTTTGCTTGGCACCCATATGCTGTAGTTGTTTGGTTGATGTGCGCCTCAGGAGATGTGCCTTGTGTTATACTCACCCCAAGTTATTTTTCCTTGAGTGAAGTTTGTAGTCTCTGGCACCCTAGATTGTACTCCATCTGCAGTCTTCCTTGCCCTTCCCCAATCTTCATGACTTTGCACTTGGTGGGGTTGAACTCCAGGAGCCAATTGCTGGACGAGGTCTGCATCCTGTCCAGATCTCTTTGTAGTTCTGCCTGGTCCTCGACAGGGTGCATGTACACACCCTCATTAAAAGGCTACCTCCCCAACCAGTGAACCAGATACTAAGGGTTGGATGATCGTCAGATCAGTGTCTTGGTTCAACCAGTCATACTGTGGATCTGATAACTGTAAAGGTGGCGTGGTTACCACGCATGCCTTTACCCTTGTCATTTCCATTCGAGAGCTGGTTGAAGCACGGTGGTCTGCATTGTATTGGCTTCAAATTCTGCCTTGATTACCGAGACGTACACTAATACTCATTGCTGTACATAGTGTATATAGTGTACATATTGCTGTTTATACTTGGTGAAGGATAATACAAATCAAAGTTTTTCTGCTGCTTTTATTTTTATTCCTTTTCACTCAGGATAACATGCTTTTGAGAACCTGGGTTGTAATATATATATATATATATATATATATATATATATATATATATATATATATTTTAATATATATATATATATATATATATATATATATATATATATATATCGTGCCAAAGAATAATATAATAATAATAATAATAGGTAAAATTGGGCAATTAGCTTAAAGATATATATTTTTCATTTGTGTTAATGTAAAAATTAATAATTTTGTACTAAAAGAACCTCAGAAAACTTACCTAACCTTATTATAACAAGCGGTATTTAATGTAGCCTAATCAGTCTAAATATATTTTAGATAAGTTTATAATAATTTAATTATTATTATAATAAAAAAGAAGCACTAAGCCACAAGGGCTATACAGCACTGCAGGGTAGGGAAGTAAGCAAGCGTACTGGGAGGCAAAAGGGGGGAGGGATGATTAGTAGGTTACAGAAAACAGCAGGGGATAGTGCAGGGGTAGCAAGAGATTGAGGTAGAAAGGGCTGAAGGTATCATCAGAGTTTGTAGAGCAAGTCAGTTGTTGTCAAAAAGTCAATGAGAGAGTCCGGATGAAAGGTGGGTCCATCAGCGAGAAGGGAAGGTAAAGAGAGAGCAGCGGAGCGAAGACGACGCTGGAGGTAAATTCTGTGTGCTCGTTGATAAAGTGGCAGTCTAATAGAATGTGGCTGACCGATAATGGACCTGACAATTCTCACAGAGAGGAGCAGGGCGCCTCTCCATGAGATATCCATGAGTAAGACAAGTATGGCCAATGTGAAGGTGGGAGAGAGTAGTCTCCCAACCTCGACACTGGTGACAAGAAGATGGCCAGTAACCTATGTTCGGTTTAATAGAACAAAGTTTGTTATTGAGCAGAGCAGACCAACGTTGTTGCCAACGGGTGTGAAGGTGGATAGCTATTACAGCAAAATAGTCCGGAAATGGAACACCTCTATAGGAAATTGGTAGGTCATGTACTGCTGGTTGCACAGCAGTGTCTGCCTTTTCATTGCCCTGTACGCCAACATGACCAGGGACCCAACAAAAAACAATATCTTCATGCTTGGTAGAGATACGGCATAGCCAAAGTTGGATACGGAGAACTAGAGGGTGAGGTGTATCAAATTTCCGTATAGCCTGTAGAGCACTAAGGGAGTCTGAGACAACCACAAATGATGACACAGACACAGATGTGATACGAATAAGTGCTGCAAGAATGGCATACAATTCAGCAGTAAAAATGCTAGCCGAAGACAGTAAATGCCCTCGCACGACACTGTCCGGAAACACTGCTTCGAAGCCGATGCGTCAGAAAATTTAGAGCCATCTGTGTACACGGCGATGGCATGAGAATGAGAGTGGAAGTGGTCAAGAAAAAGAAAGCGGGAAGCCACCGTAGGCAGTTGGGTTTTCGAGCAAGGGAGTGAGAAAGAACAGACCCGGACAACTGGAACTTCCCAGGGGGGTAGGGGAAAGTGAGATGCTCCATGAACATATAAAGGCGGTAACTGAAGGGAAGACAAGAGCGAATGCAGGTGAAGAGAGAAGGGATGGAGAAAACAGGGGTGGTGAACAAATACAGAATGTCTACTAATATCAGTGGCCATTCTATAAATGGAAGGATTGCGGAGATCGTGAGAGTGCACATAGTAGCAAAGGCAATGGGCATCATGGCGATCAGACAAGGATGGAACATTCGCTTCTGCATAGAGGCTCTCAACAGGGGAAGAGCAAAAAGCACCAATGCATAAACGTAATCCTTGGTGATGGATGGGGTTAAGGCTAGAGAGAGTAGCAGGAGAGGCCGCTGAATAGATCTGGTCACCATAATCGAGTTTTGATAAAATGAGGGCTGAATGCAGGCGAAGGACAGTTCGACGATCAGCTCCCCCATGAAAGATGAGCAAGGGTTTTAAGAAGGTTCAGCCGGCTGTGACAAGTTGCCTTTAGAGAGGTAATGTGGGGTTTTCAGGATAACCTACGGTCAAAGAGAAGGCCTAGAAACCTGATTGCATCACGTTCAGGGATACGGGAGCCATAGAGGTACAAAGGATGATCGGAGATGACAGAGCATCTAGTGAAAGTAATTTGGTGAGTTTTGGTACTGGAAAATTTAACCCATGCGTGGTGGCCCAATTGGAAACACGGGTGACCGCATGCTGGAGAGAAACTGTAATGAGGTGACAGTCAGTGCCTGCACAAGCAATAGTGAAGTCATCTACATAGAGTGATGACCAAATATTGGATGGAAGAACAGAGGCCAAATCATTTATAGCAAGGAAAAGAAGTGTTGTGCTCAGAACGCATCCCTTAGGAACACCTTCAGCTTGGGCAAAGTCCGAAGAGAGCACATTATTGACTCGAACACAGAAATGTCTGTCAGTTAAAAAGTTCTTAAGGAAAGATGGTAGATTGCCTCGGAGGCCTAAGGAGTGGGCTTAGGCCAAAATATTATACCTCCAAGTTGTTTCATATGCCTTCTCAAGGTCAAAAAATATGGCAATAACTGAGTGGTTATTCGCAAAGGCATTATGAACATACGTATCCAAACGTAGTAAGGGGTCTATGGTAGAACGGCCCTTACGAAAGCCATATTGACGAGTGAAGAGACTGTTGTGTGTCTCTAAATACCACATTAATCATCTATTTACCAGACGTTCCATCACTTTGCAAACTGCACTGGTAAGAGCGATGGGACGATAGTGGGAGGCTTCATGTCCCGTAGTACCCAGTTTGCAGAAAGGGAGAACAATGACAGATTTCCACAGCTGTGGAAGAACTCCTTGTGACCAAATAAGATTGAAAAGGCATAAGAGGACTGCAAGGGCTGACTGATGTAAATGTTGTAACATACGAATATGAATGTAGTCGGGCCCAGCTGTCGATGATCGGCAAGCTGAGAATGTTGCCTCCAGTTCCTGAAGTGTAAAAGGCACATTATACTGTTCTTCTCTGAGAGAAGAAAAGTCCAAGGGTGCTAACTCTTGGGCAGACTTTGAGGAATGGAACGAGGGGCAGAGATGGAGCCCCAGAGATATACAGACCAGATGATTGCCAATTTCAATGGCAACATCTAGAGGGTTTATTATATCAACACCGGCAACCTGCAGAACAGGAGCCGGGTCAGGAGAATATTTACCACTCAGTTTCCGTACTTTTTTCCAGACTGCACTCATAGAGGAAGCAGAGGTGATGTTGGAGACAATCTCGCCAGCAAGTGCGTTTAGCATCATGTATGACACAGCGAGCGATCGCACGCTTCTGATTAAAATCAAGAAGTCTCTCAGTGGTTCTATTATGCTGGTACCTGCCCCACACAACATGTTTCAAACGTACTGCATGAGCACAAGCAGGAGATCACCAAGGCACGCATTTATGAGAATGCCTGCCCGAGATTTGGGGTATAGAATTAGAAGCTGATGTTAAAACTGAGGACGAGAAGAGGTGTAAAAGCTCATCAATGGAGGACGAAGAAGGAACCTCACTAAAAACAGTTAGTTGTGAGTAAAGGTCTCAATTTGCCTGATCAAATTGCCAGCGTTAGGTGGTGAATATGAAATGGAAGTAAGAATGATTGGAAAATGATCACTGTCATGTAAACCTGGGAGAACAAACCAGGTGAAGTCTAGTGCAGCGAAGGAAGAGCAGACTGAGAGATCGATGCAAGAGAGAGTATGAGTACGAGGAGCAAAATGGGTGTGAGTACCTGTATTTAAAACATGGAGGGGGTGGGAAGCAAGAAAAGCCCCTAGCTGAATGCCACTAGAATCACAGTGAGACCTCCCCCAGAGAAAATGATGAGCATTAAAATCGCCAAGTATCAGAAGTGGTGGCGGTAATGACGAAACAAGAAAGACAATATCCGGAATAGATAATGCTTGAGAAGGAGAGAGATACAAATAACAGAGTGTATACCACCTATGCAGGTGGATACGGTCTGCTGTGTAATGCAGCGAAGTACGAACAAATAGCTGATGGAACAGAATATCAGTGCATAGAAGAAGGGTGCTTTCATTAAAGGTCCCATCAGGAAAAGGATCCGAAGAATACAATAAATTATAGCCTGAGATGGGATAGATAACAGCAGAGTTTAATTTTGATTCTTGTAAGCAAACACTAACAGGGGAAAATTGGGAGAGCAACGTCTGAAGCTCACCCCGATTACCCCTGAGGCCGTGTATATTCCACTGTAAATAGGCCATGGTTGGCAACAATAAAGATACTAGAAATCCACAGGTAAGGTTACTTATGGACTAGAAGGGTTAGAAAAGTCCACATGCAGTGGCAGAGGTAAACGTTCAAGCAGCGAAGGAATGGTGTGCTGTGAAGAAAGGAGTTGTGCAGATGGAGAAGAGGAAAGAGAAGGAACAGAGGGCGGATAAGTGTCCATTGATGGTTTGGTCTCTGCAATATATTCAGAGATTGCTTCAATTGTTTCGGAGTTCAGAGACGTCGTATGGGAGATAATATTGGAGATGGAAGGAGGAGGAGTTTGAGTAAAGATCGGAACTGTAATGGACTGTATTGAGGTAGGGGGGGGCGAAAGGGTGGAGGGAACTGGAGAAGTGTGGGAGGGGACCGAAGAGGCAGAAACCTGGGAGGTGGCAGAAGAGGAAGAAACTTGGGAGGGGACAGGGGAAGAAGGCACATTGCGAGGAGGAGGATGAACCTCCACACTTGTAACCAAGCCAGTGAAAGGGGAAGACCCAGGTACAGAGACTGGGAAGGTGAAGTGTGGAGGTGGATGAGGGGAAGGAGGGGTTAAAGGAGATTTTTTGGACTTCTGAGAAGTAGAGGGACGATTGGGAGGAGGTGTCATATAAGGTCTTGTCGATACCGGGGTTTGTGAGGGAGAACACGAAGAAGTGAGAACAGGCTGAGGTGTTGAAGTAGGGACGTCTGAGCCCAGGACAGCAAAATAATTAGATACAGCAGTGACTCTGGGTCTGGCAACCACAGAGGAGGCTGCAAAAGATGGGACACCAGAAGTGGGGGGACTTTTTGAAACACGAGAATAAGAAACACGGGGTAGTCTCCCTTGGAGGCAGAGATGAGAAACCGCCATAGCATAAGGGAGACCTTCTGCCTCTTTGAGGCAGCGAATTTCCCGCTCATTCAAGTAGACCTGGCAATGGTGAGAGTATGAAGGGTGAGCCAAATGTCAATTAAGGCAAGAGGGAGGTCGACTGCAAGACGTATTAGAATGGTCATCGGCACCACAGACTGGGCATTCGGCTATAGATCTGCAATATTTTGCTGGGTGGCCAAATCGCCAACAATTTCTACACTGTTGCGGTGTAGGGATGACCTTTCAAACTTGTAACCGATGTCCTGCTACATAAACAGAGGATGGGAGTTCATGGCTGTCAAAAGTTAAACGAGCCACATTGCAAGGGTATCGTCTCCGCCCGTGGGCAGGAAGAACATAAGTGTCTGCCTTGAGAATTGGGAGATCTAGGAGTTCCAGCTGTTCGAGAATGTCATTGCCACATATCTGGAAATTCTGTTGGACTATGGTATGAGGCAGAATGACAGTACCACTACAAGAATTGAGGGAATGATGTTTTTCGATAGTGATAGGAATAGTATCGATATGTGAAAGAAGAGAAAGATCATGAGCTTGGGTAGCATTCTGGACTGTGATGATACGCAAACCACTCTTAAGAGCATTAAAGGAAATATCTCTACCAACATGGCGTAGGAACGCTTTGCCAATACTATGGTCAGAAAGATAGGCAGTAGAAGAAGTCGGTCTTAAAGTAAAGAATTTTGTCCATTGTGTGGTCCGAAACTGTGTGTGAAGAGGGAGTGCATGACGTGTTGGTCTTTTCCGAGCAGAATGGGAAGGTAATGAAGTAACGTCATCAGGAGATTGTCGTTGGCGTTTAGAAGTGGGACCAGAGTTGGTCCGACGTGGGACGGGCTGGCGATTCGAAAATCGCCGCACAGTAGAGTGAGAGGCCGGAAGCATAGTCAGAGGAGAGCAGAGGTCAGACAAATCGAAGGAGTCAGTCGAAACCCCGGCACCTGAAGCAGGTGATGAAACAGCACCAGCAAGAGATACAGGGGTCTTAGGAGTGTCTGAAGAGTGGCCAAAAGACGAGACAAAGTCAGAATGGGGTGCGGTAACAATAAGGGGCCCGGGGGTAGTGGGGCCATGGATTGGGTACTCCATGGTTAGGTTATCTCTTTCTTTTTGTTTTTAAGAAAAACAAAGAAAGAAGAAAAGAAAATAAAAATAAAAAAGAATAAAAAAAGGGGGGACCGGAGAGGGATAGTTCCTAGGAGGAATGAAAGGGCCAGAAATCTCCCTCCGCGCCCAAGAGGACCTCAGCACCACAAGTAGCACAGATGCAGCATGGAACGCGTGCCATACCCTACCCTTCATGCCAGTAAACCAGCAATCCGGGATAGCAACCTCACATCTGCCGAGCTACCTCAGTGGACAAAAGAGAGGGCAGCCGGATATCCCCCACAAAGCATACCTCCTTCGGCCACCACCCCCGGAATCCGAAAGGTGGCTTCCAGAGATACACCCGTCGCCTGAAAGACACCCAAAGCCACCCTCCGGGATACCAGAGAGGGATCGGGACATTCCCAGGCAATCCAGATTCCACTGCAAACTACGCCACCGCCAAGAACCTCAACGGAATGGGATGGACCCCGGTACCCTTTCCCCTACCCAGGAACTAGCGTGCCTGTGGGAAGAATCCCAAAGGCCAAAAAAGGAAGGGCAAAAGGGACGGGTGGGGAGGAGGAGGAGGAGGAGGAGGAGGAGGAGGAGGAGGAAAGGAAAAAGTGAAGGATGAGATAGGGAAGGGGGACTGGGGGGTAATTAGGTTCGGTCTGAGGAAGGAGACTGACAGGTCTAATTCCTCAGACCAAGAGCCTCTTCACCACGCCAAGGAGCCCCCCTTGAAGAGGTATAATAATTTAATAATAAACACAATGAAATGTATTTAGGCTCAGAGTGATTTTTGCTAAATTATTGCATCCAAAAATTTTCGCTTGCTCTATTCGGCAAGAAGGGCATTGCTATTTAAGCCAAAATCACAAGTTTTACCAGAAGAACCTTAGGAAAGTTACCTAACCTTATTATAACAAACTCAATTTAATGTAGCCTAATCCAACTAATTATATTTTTATATAGTTTTACAATAATTTAGTAGCAAACAAACACAATGAAATACATTTTTTCGTTAGGTTCAGAATGATTTTTGTGAAATTATTGCTTACACAAATTTTCACTTGTCCTATTCGGCAAGAAGTGGGCCCACACATGCCAATAATAGTCGCAAGTTTAGGCTCGATTAAAAAAGTAAAGTGCGGCTCAGTACCAATACTTGTGATGAAGTTTAGCTGACATAGTAGAACAAATACAAGGTCTCCCAGAGATCCACACCAATTTAGTTGAAAAACAGATGTTATAGATGAACAATACAATGGAACTTCAGTTTAATATTTTGGTCTTGACTTAGTGAAGCTTGGATTTTATGGGATGTGCAATCCTGTTATTTCTCTTTATATTACATATTATTGTAATACTTCGTCTGAGGCTGCCGGTGTGAGGTCTTCCGTGCTCAGGGCAGCCACCTTACTTCTTCCTTCTCTCTAAATACTGAAATATGTAGAAAATATTTGTTTTTGTAAATAAGGTAAAGTTTCACTATACAAAGCTAGAATTCTTTTTTTTTTTTAATTTTGAAAGTCACATACAAGTTGATTTTTGCATCCCTAGCAAGCTACATGTTGATGTTTATATCACTGTAACAGTTACAGGATAAGATCTTGACATATAGTTTCGTTTAGTTGGACTTATCTGTTTGTCCTGGGAATGACCAGGTGGTGAGATATGGGAATAACCTGGTGGTGGTGGTAGGAAATGGAGTTGATTTGGTGGTAGCGGAGAAATGCAGGTGATATGATGGTGGTGATGTTAGTAGTGGTGGTGATATTGATAGGATGAATACTGAAGTAGTGGTTATTGTGGTGTTAATACTTATGAGGTGGTGATAGTGGTGGTGGTCGTTATGGTTACCCTAATGGTAGGGATGAGGGTGAGTTATTAACTGATAAAAACAAAATATATTCACAGCAAACCTGTATTTATAAGCTACGTTTCGTTCTAAGTGGAAAATAGAACAATCAATGTGAACTGACGTTATATTCAGAAAAAGATAACATGAGAAGATTAGAGATTAGATGTTATCTGTAGCTGAGGTGTTTTTGTACACCAGCACCACCTTTGTTTCATGATCAGTTTCATAATGAGTTTTATTGCAAAATGACTGGCGATATTGTGGTATCAAAAATATGTTTGATTACGGCTTCCAAGCATTGTCTCGAGGCCTAGATGTCTTTATTAGCTACGAGAACAGTTTACCTGGAGTTTACCTGGAGAGAGTTCCGGGGGTCAACGCCCCCGCGGCCCGGTCTGTGACCAGGCCTCCTGGTGGATCAGAGCCTGATCAACCAGGCTGTTGCTGCTGGCTGCACGCAAACCAACGTACGAGCCACAGCCCGGCTGATCAGGAACTGACTTTAGGTGCTTGTCCAGTGCCAGCTTGAAGACTGCCAGGGGTCTGTTGGTAATCCCCCTTATGTGTGCTGGGAGGCAGTTGAACAGTCTCGGGCCCCTGACACTTATTGTATGGTCTCTTAACGTGCTAGTGACACCCCTGCTTTTCATTGGGGGGATGGTGCATCGTCTGCCAAGTCTTTTGCTTTCGTAGTGAGTGATTTTCGTGTGCAAGTTCGGTACTAGTCCCTCTAGGATTTTCCAAGTGTATATAATCATGTATCTCTCCCGCCTGCGTTCCAGGGAATACAGGTTTAGGAACCTCAAGCGCTCCCAATAATTGAGGTGTTTTATCTCCGTTATGCGCGCCGTGAAAGTTCTCTGTACATTTTCTAGGTCGGCAATTTCACCTGCCTTGAAAGGTGCTGTTAGTGTGCAGCAATATTCCAGCCTAGATAGAACAAGTGACCTGAAGAGTGTCATCATGGGCTTGGCCTCCCTAGTTTTGAAGGTTCTCATTATCCATCCTGTCATTTTTCTAGCAGATGCGATTGATACAATGTTATGGTCCTTGAAGGTGTATGTTCTTACTTTACGAGATGTGAGTATATAACACACAATTACTCATATTGTGAGTTTTTCATGTATTTTTCTCCTCAAGAACTCTGGTATGTAGACGATATGGCGTTTTATATATTCAGAGTTTATTGCGCCCTTATGTGGGATCTTTAAGATTTAATTCATGTTGGTCTTGTTAGTTCACCAGTAGTTGTTCACGCGATAACAGCTACTTTGATTTTGTACATTAACAGGACTTTGGCTATGTTGTTCATAATGATCCTTGTTGGTACCACGATTTTCTGTTTGCTTAACATTTACTCATTTAAATTGTTGAGAATGAGACATTATCATTGATTGGTGAACTAAAATTTGCAACAGATTAAACAGAGCATCATTATTTACATGTTGTTATAGTGATTACGGAATTTATGTACTCCAGAGAATAATTAAAACTATCTTTGATCTACATATCTTTTTTAGAACTTCATCGATACAATGAAATTCTTTATAACTCAGTAACTTCACCTTTCACGACACACTAACAGAATAATATGGTATATCATTGGGATTCTTTATCAGTGCTGTACTCGCTAACATATTTATGGAGTCAACAGAAACGAGCATTTTGAATATATATCATCCCATGCATCATGTCTTTACTTCCACATGTTGACGACATATTTTATCTCAACAAGGCATTTTAATCTGAAAATATCCTGAAACTAACTAAGATTTTGTTAAATTCCACTCCGAAACTGAACAAGATAATTCTATTCCATTTCTAGATGTTAACTAACTCAAAATCAACAAGACTCGTCAATTCCAGGTAAACACTAATCCTAGCAATAACAATAATCTTATTCACTTGTTCTTCCACTACCACAAGTACCCACGAGCTACTGTATTCACTGATTTTTTTTTCCTGAGTGATAAATTCCTTGGAATTTATCACTCAGTTTCTTGGTAGCTAATTAATGCACAACAAGTGAAATGCATTCTCAATATGTCTGACGAGAACGCAAAAAATATATAACGAATCATCCTGTTCTCAGGCAGCATGAAGAACAAAATAACCCAAGTTCTCTTCAACTGAGTAACACCATAGTAGCTGTTACCATGCTGAGAGCCAACAAGGAATTAGCAAGACTCAAATTAAAATCACCATTTTAATACTGGGGGTATACAAGTTCCAATGTGGGAAGTGACAAAATTTACGTAGCTGAAACATGTTTCATACATACCAGAAATTTTGAGGACAAAAAATAGAAAACGAATTTAGACTCAACAATCATACAGATATCTGCATAACCAAATCGCTTGTTAGATTAATATTACAAGAAGTGGCATATGCCAAGTATGTCACTTTGATTCGGAATTTCAAACACAACCATATGTTCTGCATACAGTCAATAATCAGCTTAAAGCATGGAAGTTAATTGCTGATGTGAGTGCAGGGAATCCCATTCACTTACAGACATAACTACCATTTGTAGAAGTCAGGCAATCACAGTGAGAGGGTAAGCTGTAGGCAAGTTACCTCGTACAGAGAATCTATCTTGGAGGTCAGTTCCTCATGTACTTTCAGCTAATTAATTCATATTAGAATTCAGTCCTTTCTTTGTGTGTTTAAGATGTAGCCAGTGAGTCTTTTTTCGTCTATGATTTCTGCTGGGTAGCAGCCGTTTGCATGACGCCAAGGCCGTCCACCACACTTCACAGTGACTTCTCATTGCTCACGTGGCTGCCGTGGTGAGAGGAAGTGTTGCACTTTTGTTTCTCATCCGTCCCATCTTTTGTGAAGTGTTCCCTTTAGTTTGGGGCTATACATCTTTGATTATGGGTAAAAGTAAGTCTTTAACACCTGAAACTATTGCTCATATCATAGGGCCTCACAAAGCATTGCACCAGACAAAAGAAATAGTAGAGAATGTTGGAGTGTGTGAGCATTCATTAAGGAACTGGGTGCAGCGTTTCAAGGCTGGTGGCGGTGTCCAGTTATCGTCTGCCAAACCTCGACCTGGCCCCTCGAAGAAGGCATCTGTTCATACCTTAACTGTGTTAAAGAAGCAGTTAGAGTAACTGCTTTTAACGTAGGACTGACTAGGTTGTGATGGGTGTGATGGGGCTGATGGGTAAAGACTGAAATGGTGGCGATTTGAATGATAGGTAAGGACTGACCTGATGGTGATATGGTGATGGGTATGCATTGACTTGGATGTGATGGGTAAAGACTGACCTGTTGTTGATAGATAAGGACTGGTCTGTAAATGATGGGGTGATGAGTAAAGACTGACCTGGTAGTGAAGTAGTGATAAGTAGGAACTGACATGACAGTGATGGGTAAGGATTTACTTGGTGGTGATGGGTATTGAGTGACCTGTAGGTGATGGTAAAGTATTGACCTGGTGGGGAGAGGGGTGATGGATAAAGACTAACATGGTGGTTATGGTGGTGAAGGGAATGAACTGGCCTGGTGGTGTTTGTGGTGATGGCTATAGACTAACTCGGTGGTGATGGGTATAAACTGACATGGTGTTTATGGTGGTGAGAGGAAAGGGATAACGAGATGTTGATGGATAAGGGCTGTCTTGATAGTGATAGGGTTGATATATAAGTGCTGTCTTGTTAGGTAAGACACATATGCAACAGTTCGATATCTTTATTTCGAAACGTATCGCCTACACAGTAGGCTTCTTCAGTCAAGTACTGAAAAGTTGGTAGAAGCAGAAGAGATGTGAAGACGATGTAATCAGTCCATCACCTTTAAAGATCTAGTTTTGAAGTGGTCAGTCCCTCAGCCTGGAGAAGTGTATTTGTTCCATAGTCTGAACACATCGATTCTAGGCTGAGTGACTGATTACCTCAAACTCTTCCTGCTTTGTACTGGACTGATGAAGCCACTGTGTGGCTAAACGTTTCGTCAATAAAGATTCCCATATAATGCATAGGTGCCTCAATTCTTTAAGTTGTTGGTTTTCAAAACAATTTTATCACATCTGTCAGACACTGCAGCATCATGGGATTTTGATATAAAGAATTCTTCAACACTTTTCCAACCTTCGGACGAAGATCTACTAAGAGTAGTGGATGGTACCACTGTGATCCCGCCTCCTGCTGCTTCGACTCACCTGACTACAGTACATAAGCCACGTCTACGGCCCTATGCTGTACTTCCTACAAGAGTGATGGACTGAACACATCGATTCCAGACTAAGGGACTGATTACCTCAAACTCCTCATCTCCTTACACCTTCCTGCTTCGTATTGGACTGATGAAGCCACTGTGTGGCGAAACGTTTTTTCAATAAAGATTCCCATATGCTGCATAGGTGTCTCAATTCTTCAAGGAATTTAGTACTTTACCTGGTTGAGTATCATGTATGCTTGTGAAGACTTACTCAGCCCTGTAACAACTTCAGACAGTATTACCATGGCTGGCTCCTCCTCAGGAAAATTAATGAATAGAAAAAGAAATAATTCACAAAGATAAACACTATTATTTATTAATGCAAAGATTAAACAGTGAAACATGAAGGTGT